TTTTTTCCCTCTCACACACGTACAAACTCACATTAAACACCATGACATTTATTTACAAAGTTAGTCATAATAACATGGGATAAAATGCATATATTTTAAATCAAATTATAACTTATAACTACAAGGTATATTTTTTATATTATCTTTTAATGTGTAAAAATTATTTTTGGTCGTATAAATAACTATTTATTTTTAAATTAGTAAAGGCTTATATAAAATAGTAGTGTTTAATAATCTAGAATTATTCTATAAAATTGCAACAGAAAACAATACGTGATTTTGTGTCACTATATTTGATTCGACATTGATATTTCAAAAACATAATTCTCACATTTTTTATGTATGGCATTTCAGAGATTTCCTAATTAAATTAAATTTTCAATTCAGAGTGACAAAAAAATTGAATGATCTTTTGATATTAAAAATCATAATGAATCATGAGTATTATATTTTATAGATTATGACATATTCGACTTATTTTAGATAAATTAGTTGGCTTGTCTATAATATGGTTAATTCTCTAATTTTAAAAATTTGCTGCTTTTAATTGTCCATTTTGTGATAAAATAAAATAATTCCGAAAACAAGTATTTAACTGATATTCTATCACTATACTACAGAGTAAAAATGATTGATTAATTTTCAAACTTTTAATTGATCGTATACTGTCTACTAAGCAAGAACTATAATATATTAGATATCTTAGATATCATAGGCTATCTCAGATTTTTCATTAAGTATTATTTTTGTTCATGCATAAATGGAGTATTATATTAAATTAGTTTTTACTCTTAAGCCAAGATAGAAAATTCGAAGAAAAAATATGAAAAATAAACAATATATATTGTGCTTTTAAAACTCATTTTATACTTTTTTTTACTGTACATTTGAAATCGAGAGAAAACATAAATTTATAATTTAGTTGATTACTATTCATAATATAAGATATATAGAAATATAATTTCTGTAAGGTTTACAATATAACATTACGATGAGCTCGAAATATTTATATTTAATATATTTAAATACATACTATAATTATATTGATCTACTATCTAGAAATTATATATTTTTTCTTATTAATATTATTATCATGATTTATTTAAATTCTTTAAAAAAAAATTTTAAAACGAAAGTTTCAAAAGTTGTACTTTGTAAGTTTTTTTTACAGTCTTTCGAAATCCGGTGACCATTACCGTTGTTAGTGATTTACTCGTATTCGCTTAGAACCTTAAATTACTAGGTAATTTTTTATTAAAAATACTTCAGATTCAGTAATAGTTTTTTATAGAGATAGTATTTAGTGGTTCTACAATTATTTATGGTAACAGTAAACATGAAATAGAAATGTGCTTCAATAAACGACTCATTAAAAACACGTGAACGTTTTCGTAGATTGTAGTTATCTAAATAATTAGGAAAGGGCATGCGTACATTATACATGCGCGTCATTCTCTTGCATTTCAACGAAGCATTATCCTTACCCTTGTTTCTGAATGACCTTTGTTGTTGAGTGCTTTAAATTGCAATAGTGTAGTTTTTTCTCTCTAGTACAATGTGATCGCAGGAATCCGAGACATCTTTTTTGGATGAGGTACTACCATGTTTGTCAATGTTTCTCCGACCAGCATCTATCTGCCGAAAAAAATGACATTTGTGCATGTTTTCAATAGTGCGACCTTTTTATTTAAATGTATCCGTCAGTTTGCCTGAATAGTTCCTTTTAATTTAAACTCATTGTTTACGAATTTTTCACTGACAATTGCTTTGTCTTGGTCCTTTTCGGAACAGAGATATTATGTTTGAACAAATTTTATTTGTTTAAATAAAATTAAACATGAAAAGTGATTTATCATGATTAATTATTACTAAGAAGAAGCTAATAGTTTTGAATTTCGACGTTACTAAAACTTATACAAATGTATATTATGGTAACACATAATAATAAGGGACTCTGAATACATAAATAATGTACATTATTTTTTTTACAAAAATTGATTCTATAAATATATATAAATGATTTAAATATATTTTGATATTAAATTATGTTATTTACCAATTTGTTTTACAGTTTTAATTTTAATTTCATAAATTTATTTTTCTAATAATTACTTACGAGTGTAAAAAGTATACTATAATTAAATAATTTGGTACTACAAAAGACCAAAGGTTTAAGTAACACCGTATCAAGCTTTTATAAAATGTTTAAAGTATAACAAATGTTAAGAGCAAAATACCAGTGATTATAAATGTATGTAATTTATTTACATTGAAATATCTTTTAAACATCATACTTTTTGGATTTTCAGTACACGTTTGTAATGATTAAGTTTTAATATTTTTGGTATTTTGTATTATTTTTATTTGTGTTAAAATTTTTAAATTTTTTGTCTAAATATATATATAATATTAAAGAAGTTAGTCTTAGTAAAATGAGATATTTATTCAAACAATTTTGTTTTAATATTTTTTAAGTATAATAAAATATTTTATAACAATATGGATATTTGAGATAAAAATGTATGATAATGATATTTAAAAAATATAGTAGTAAATCATCATGATTGACTAGTAAGTGTAAAATTTGATTAAAACTTTTATTATAAATTTAAAATTATTTTTATTTTTATAGTACAATAATAGATGCAAACAAATTATTTTTTAAACACAGTATTTGATTTCGAGCGAAAAATATGATATTAAATACATAAATATAACACTAATTTAATCAATATTTAACTCTGAAAAATTAAAGAAAATCAATAACAGTTATGAATGTATTTAAAATTGAATTTTTAAAACTAATTTTTTTTTTAATTTTACTCGTATTACAATTATTATAGTGTACTACCTTGTTGTAGTGCCATGGTACTGATCGAAATCGTTCATAAATATTTAGAATCGAAACGAACCAATACTTCACTAATTTTATACGATAGGACCGGACCAGATCAGACCATTGATCGGACTGATATAGACCGGAAAATTTAGAGCACTACCTTGTTAGGATTCGAAGGGAAATAAGAAGCATATTTATTTAAAAATAAGTTTATTTACTTTAAATGAAAAATATGTTGATTGTTGCTTGTTAATTTATTACGTTTTAATAACTATCATTAATAACACATAATTTTATTAAAATAATATTTACCTGTTACAATTTTTATTTAATTTTTTTATAGTAAATGTACTAATATATTAATTATTATTGCTTTTATCATATATATGTAACAAATAAATAAATAAATAAATAAATAAATATACATAAGTATATACATTTATTTATTTATTTGTTGTATATATAATTCTCAAATTTATTTGAAATTAGACAATAGATTACATTTGTTAAATAATTAATTTAAGATTTATGATACATTATATATATTCTTTACATTTCTGGGAGTATTTGATAACTATTATTTATGCGTATTATATTTAAAAATTGGTACCTATTGTAAAAAATGATATTTTATGGCAAAATAATCTATTAAGATATTATTACGTATGTAGGTGAACAATTTCATTACGTTTATCTTTGATGGTAATTTGGACTCATTGCATAATTAATTATTTTTTTATGGATGATTTTATTTCATTTCTAGTCTAGAAATTGTTTAGTTTACTTATGAAATTGAATGTTTAACATTAAATTCCTTACATAATATGCTGTAGAATAAATTATAGTTTTCCTAAAAAAATATAATTTTTTATTACATGAAAAAAAAAAATCATAGATAACAGCAACAAAATGTAGGAGGGGAAATTATAAACTGTAATATCTATAAATTGTATATATATATTAGTGATGGGTTGAACCCTGATTTTTTAAATCGAACCGAACTTGAACCGAACTCGAACTCAATACTTTTTATCATGTACATTGTACCTACCTACAAATTAAATCAACCATAATTATTAATTACTATTGTATTTTACGTTTTCGTATTACCTATTCTACATTTTAACTTATAAGTCTAAGTAATTGTATTATTCACAATACATTTAAATTTTAGATAATTTCTTATTATTATTATTTTTCAAAACCAGTATTGTGCTCTTTCGTGTTGTCTTGTAGCTTATAAAATATTCATTAAGTATTGAGTATTGAGTGAAATATGAAAATACAATCGGTACATTTTAATAATATATAAAAAAATAGTAATAATAACTATAATTCACAAATATAGAATGATTAGTAGAATTTATAATGTAAGACGTAAGTTGTGAACATGTTTTTATTAACAGCACAGTCGCGGTATCGGAATATTACCATGGATTTACCCAAAATAGATTTTAACCTCTATAATAAATATGATAAAAACAAAAATAGCTAATTTATGAATGTAGATGAATGTGGAAAAATAACACTATTATTATAATAATAGCATTATTATTATAAATAATGCATAACATGCCATTTACAGATTATCACTTTCTATCGCCAATAGTCTAATTATTTCTAAATAATCAATATCAATTTTAATTTTTCATAATAACTTTTGAAGAATTTTACAGATATTTGGTTTTCGAACTATCGTAGCCAATAAGTCTGGTTCGACAAATATTTTCAAGTTTGATTTTTTTTCATGCCGAGTTCGAATTTCGAACCGTACCGAATATCAAGGGTTAGGTTCCGTTCGGTTCGAGATTCGAACAGTTTGACCCATCACTAATATATACCATAATCGAAAAAAAAAATTAAATATATATTTATATTCTAAATGTGGATAAAGAAAGCTAGTAACTGTTGGGTTAATGTAATTTTGTAACAATGTAATTTTTTTTTTTTTTTTATATACTTATAATTTTTGTCAATTGTCACCTTTTATTGTTGTTCTTATGTTAATGTCTGTGTTATCTTTAAGTGTCGATCTGTCATAGTTTTTACTAGAAGCTAATAAAAAAAAAAAAATAAAAAAACTATTGAGTTTAATAAAAAAAAAAATTTATATATTTTATTTCATTGATATTAATGTAATTTTTTATTTTTTTTTTTTAAGGTTTTATTGGGATTTATGCATGCTACTGTTATTGGTGGCTAATTTGATTATACTTCCGGTTGGAATATCATTCTTTAATGATGACTTCGATACAAGATGGATAACATTCAACTGTTTATCCGATACCATATTCCTTGTGGACATCATCGTCAACTTTAGAACTGGTAAAATATTTAATCATTAAGTAAACTCAATTATTGAGTTTATTATAGCAAAGCATTATTCAAAAATTTTTTTTAGTTTACTATATTATAATTTTTAAGGTTTCTATTTAATTCTAAATAAATTTTAAAATTATAGATTTTGAAATTATGTTTAATTTTTACTACAGGTTATTTTTATTTTTTATATAATTATAAACGGGTGGGTACCCTTTGGTCATAACACATGGTAATTATATATACTTTTCAAGTTTTAGTTTCGTTGATAAGAGTTGACAAAATTAATCACGAAACGGAATACATTAACTGAACGTTCCTATAGGCTGGAATTTATTTATATAGTATTGTAGTATTGCTGTGAATTTAAAATCACAATATATTATCTCATATGAAAAATATTATGAATAAATTTCTGGTGATCAAGTATTTTTATAAAATTTAAGTGCTCATAAAAGAAACTGTTTATTAAGATTTTAAAAAGTAATTAAATATAGTAAGAAAGAAGTATTGGTAACCTTGGATTAAAATTACTATTTTTATTATAGAAAATATAAAATTGTTAAAATAAACAAAAATAATATTATTATCATAAAATGAATTGATTCCATAGTAGTTCTAGAAAAGTAGTTATAAATAAACATAAAAACATTATATTATATTATAAACTACGGTATACTCGTATTTTCAATTCATTGATTTTGACTAGATTTTATTTGGAAATCAATAAATAAAATGATAATAATAATAAAGAAAAAAATGAATAAAAAAAAATGTACTCATTTAACAAGGAAATTAAAATTCACTTTAAAATCACTTTTTTGTAATATCAAATTAATTTTGATGAAAAATAACAAATTGAGCATATACCTTTGACTGGTTAGCTTATAAAATAGTATTATAAAATAGCTTACTTGGTTATGTGTATCTATTTTGCAATCCACGGTAGTGCTATATACAATTTGTAGATTATTTCTTGCCTGTAAAATGTTTTTTGAGAGAAAATCACTTTCATTTATAAATTTTAGTTATAGTTTACCAAAGTTATTAAATTTATATTCGTAAATTAAGTTTGTTTTTCGTTTGAGGTATTTTCATCTTTGTCTTTAGAATAAACTCAAAAACTTGACCTCTATACTATTATTTAAAAAACTAAAATTATTAATTAACATACATTTTAAAAATTGATTTATATTTTTTTAAAAATATTGATATTAATATAATCAGTATAGTTTTATTGAATATTTGTATGTTAGTTGTAATAAACTTGAATTTATGTCAATGAGACATATTATTTGATATAAGTGACGCCGAACCTTATATGTTATTAAAGTGATTTTTGGCCAGACATCTTTTGAACATTTAGGATGAGTTCGCTTCATATCGGGCCGAAGTTTAGTTGATCTAACTGAATAAAAGCTTCATAATAAAATTAAAGCCTAAAATTAATATTTTTTGTTAAAAATAACTATTCACTCCTTACGGTACGCCATTTAGTAATTATGTTTTTTTTTTTTAAATACTTTTTCACCCAACTTAATTTTTAGGACTTCGGCACCACTATTTGGTATCTGTATGTCTGAGAATATTGTAACAAAATTAACACTTAACTATAAAATATTATACATTTATAATTAATCATTATTATATAAGAGTGTTAACTTCAATAATTGAAGTTAATAATTATTATTATATGATACTAGTATAGTTTTGTGATATAATATAGTATATAATTGAGTTTCAAAGTATTCTATGTTTATATGGTATTTAAAATACACTCATTCAATTGAAAATATAAAAAATATACTTTATACATTTCTAATACATTAAAATAAAAGGTTTGTAGGACACTAGGCATTATGAGTATTAAGATTTTAGTTTTCAAAATAATAATTCTTTATGTAAAAAGAAACTGATTTTAGAATAATTTTAAATAGCAAGTATTTTTATAAATTTGTAGAAAAACACAATAATAATGAAAATACAATAGGTAAATTACACAATGAAAATAATAATAAATTATAAATGGTGCATTTAAAATTCTTTAGGTAGCACGCCAAAACAACTTAAATTAATAACTTAAATTGTTTGTAGTTTTCTTCACGCATTAATTTTTAAGTAGTACATATGTATAATTAATGTTTTGCAATAAATTAAGAGAATATATTACTGACTTTCAGGTGAGTTTAATGTCATTAGGTTTTTTTTGTAATATTGTAAGTGTTTAAAATGCGTTGTTACATGAAACCATCGAAATTAACCAACAAAATACGATTTAAGAGTAATTTTTTTTCCATATAATTTGATGTATTGAGATATGGTATATATAATAGATATAATATAATATTATAGATATTATCTGTATTGGCCTATTATTGGTATATCTAAATTAATTTATTTAGACAATATTCATATTTTATTTTTAACATTCTAAAAAATTTTATTCGTTTATTAAAAAAAAAAAAAAAAAAACAAAATAGTAAACAAATTAAAAATTGTATTATAAAGAAAGTGCGGATATATTTTTCATATAAAGTTATTAGAATATGTATTAACTTATATTACATTATAAATAAGTAAATTATTTGAAAAATAAAACTGAATTGCAATGAAATCATGCAATGTATATTATTTTTGATAAATATAATTAACATATTTTATATTAAAGTTAATTATTAAATACCAATATGTTTATGGTATTAAAGTGAAGTTTAAAAACTATAAACAATCGTGCCCATTGTTAATTTAATCATTAATTAAACTTATTTACTATAAATAGGTTAGGTTTAGGTTGCAATAATTATAGTTGCTTGTTTGTTGACCACATTTTTTAGCCGTTTATTATTTCAATATTTTTCGAAACACTTGAATTCATTGTATTAATTATTTTATGATAAACAAGTTTTTTGTATGAAATAAAAATAAAAAAATTGAATGCAAATAATTGTTTATAAATATATTTTTTCATATAATAACTAGAGTGAAATTATAGTTTATTATTAAAATTATATGGACATTTTATGATGGTAAAGCAAGTATATGTATAAATAATGTTATTGTTATTTCTTAAATAATATCTTATTAAATATCATATCTTAAAATATATATTTAATAAAAATCAGCTGATTCATTGGGTAAAATTATTTCTTAATCATGTTTTAATATATATTTGATGAGTTATACTATTTTTTATATGCAGGTATCTTACAAACGGATAATTCTGAACAAGTGATTTTAGAACCAAATTTAATAGCTAGAAACTATTTAAGATCTTGGTTCTTCTTGGATTTAATTAGTTCTCTTCCGTTGGATTATCTATTTCTCATGTTTAATCAGGTACCACGTTGTATAAATAGTATTATGATTTATGATTAATTTAATCGATGTGTTTTGTATAATATGTACAGGATGTGGGTGAAGGTATACAGATTTTGCACGCCGGTCGAGCTCTTCGTATCCTTCGACTTGCTAAGCTACTCAGTTTAGTCAGATTACTCAGATTATCCAGGCTAGTGCGTTATGTGAATCAATGGGAAGAAGTCTACGTGAGTGTTTTACGAAAAAATTTTTTTGATGAAAAATAAAGTTCGTAAATTGAACATCTATTTTCGAAATTAACATAATATGCAAAATTAATTTTCTCAATAAATATTCATAATAATATTTAATGTAAATAAAAATATAAAAATAAAAATCAAAAAATAAAACACTAGTTATGCAGAATAAAAGTTGCATTATTTAATATAAATGTGGGTCATTTTAGAAGACATTATAATCGAAGTCTTTATGAAACTTATGAGAATAATAATAGTGATTATTAATTAGTTTGCTTTTTCAATTGGTATGCATGATATAGCATGGATTCATAATACGATTGAACTTTTTTAATGTTATGGAAGCGGTTTGCTTGTACAAATTAAATATAATGGTTCAGAGTATTTTCCTTGTATTAAATTAATAAGTATTCTATTTTTCAATGTTTAATTTAGATTGATCTATCATTACTTATAGTTTCAAACATTATTAAAATTTTATACAATAGTTATTATTATCATATTTTATTATTATGATTATATCAATAATAAATATAATAACAAATAGAAAAAAAATACTAACAAAATTAAGTATATTAGATCATTTAAAACTTTTCATCATTGCTTTTTTTAATTATTAATAAAACTTTATCAATTTAGTATGAATTGTTCATTGTTTAACTATTGGTCAACTAATATTTGTAAAGTTTTCAATTAATCTTTTGGAAATTTTTACTATAAGACTGAAATGTTTGAGGTATTTTTAATATATTCACCATATATTTATTTTATGAAATGACATTTTGAATATTTTACTTTGGTGATCACTATCGGAAAATTTAAAATATTTTTTAAATTATTAGTTTTCAATACTTTAAAAAATAATACGATAGTTGTTTTTTCTATATAATACCTAAGCATTTTTAATTTGTTGAAATAATTTATTATAGTTTAGGTTAAATAATTTTTTTTTTATAACTGTCTACTTTATTACTAATTTAAGAAGATAATATTATTAATAACAAAAGTTATATACAAATTTGTTAGTCATACATTTTAATATTTAATAAGAAAAAACAATTTGAACATGATGTAACTAAAAAAAAAATGTTTAATGAGTAGGAAGAACAAATTTTGATGAAAATTATCATATGTTTTAAGTATATAGTTATTATATAGAAAATAATATTTAAATTTATTCTATATTGAATAATATATTTGATAGGCACCTACTGAGTATTATTCACAGTAAAAAATTTTAATAAGTAAACACAATTAATGGGATACATTTCTTATAAATAATTTAATATTTAAAATTATTCAAATAAGTACCTATTGATTTTACTGAATATTTAATAGTTGTATTTTAATCAAAGGGAGTGAGTCATTCTAATATTTTTGAAATGCGCATTTAAGATTATTATAAATTCATGTATAGTTGCATCAATATATCTAACAAAAAGAAAACATTTTTAGTCGGTGATTTGAGTTTTATTGAGGATTGGTCTTATTTTCCTTATATTTTAATAAGAAAATTATGTAATATTATTTTGAATTTAGGATATAAGATTTGAAAAAAATGATTTCGAGTGAGAGTCTTATTAAACTATTGATTTTTGTAATATTCGTACAAAAAAAGGTATTCATTTTTTATTTATTTATAGTTTTTTGAATTTTTTTTTTGAATTTATCCAAAATTATTAAGTTTTTAGAAAAATTGATTTTTAAATTAAAATAAAGTGTTCCTTATTCAATGTTCAAGTTTTTGTAATGTTGTGTGTAATTGAATGAGTATTTTTTATTTTAGAAACGTAAAAATTATCACTTTTCTGTAATACCCAAAATTGTATGTTTTAAAGTATGTGTTAAGACTATAACTTTAAAGAAGTAAATATTTTTGATAGTGTAATTTTTTTAAATATCTTACGTACAGTAAATCTAAGACGTTAAAATGGTTTAATAATTAACAATAAACTTACAATTTCACTGATTTGATCACGGCTTATGGTATTTGAAAGTTTATAAAATGTACCATGTGCCTTATAACAGTATAAATCTAAAGTTTGGACATTTTTTTCAATTTTTGTAATTTTTCATCGTTTCAAAACTTTCTGGACTTTTTGTGAAATCTATAATTCTGCAAATATTTTGTATGGATTATTTTTTTTTAATTTTAATATGGTTTTGATAATTGCATGTAATAATATCACTCCGTGCTCTCACTAATATCAAATGCAATACAGTTTAATCCTTAATGGCCTTGATATATTGTTGAACAAGAAATGCCTACTCGATTGAAGACTATATTTTTATTTAAAATATCTATTCAATACGTTTGTACGTTTGATATATTTTAACAATAACTCCATTTGAGATGGCCTGAACACTTATCATAACTAATTACTGACTCGTAAGAACTCGTTTTGTTTGTTATGTATGTTTTTGCAGCACGAAGTCTAACTTTCCGGCTTGTTTGCGTTGATTGTTTTTTTGTAGATGTTAAGAATACGATCAAATAATGTGTCATCGGGTCAACGAGGTCACCACGAAAGCCAATCCATGATCAAGGTAATAACCGTTACGTGTGTAATACCGTGTGTACATGTTTCTTCTGTTTCTTCTTCTTTTTGTTTTTTATATTTGTGATAATTTATATCTACTCATCTATACATCACTTTATTTTTAACTTAAAAATCTGAACACGTGTTTATTATACCGATGGAGAGGAATTTCTGTTTAAAGTTAGGTACCTACCAAAGGCAAAATGTGATTTGTCGGTGATTTATTAAGCGCGTGTATTTTTCCTCCTGTAGGTGGAAAACATGTGACATGAATTTCAAAAATAGACGTGAATGGGTCATTTTTCAGTGAGCACACAAACACACATACTTGCACTCGGCTTCGATGTATTTTTTAGAACAACATAATATACAGTGCGTTACACATATTGTGTTCACAAATTAAATCGTAACAATACACTATAATACTTAAAGTGTTGTTATCATCGTAATTAAAACACTGAGCGGCAATAGCTGCGCCAAAATAACAATGTAACATGTCCCATACATTTTAATTGTTCACTCACTTGGTCGACCCTTTGATCGCATCATTTAACACGTATTCATTTTTGCTACTAAAACGCTTTTTCCTAATACGGCTCCAAATCGTATAATATCTAATTTTCACTAAATCAATAATTCATACGATTTTTTGAATTTGAATTTTTAATTACATTCTTTAATTATGTTTTATTTTATTAACTTAGTTTAGACACTGCATTATTTATTGCTTGTATATTTACTTATATGATGTATTATATTGTATATTTTTGGCAGAAGTAATGTTGATAGTTATTTTATATTTGACTGAATGTATGTAATATTAAGCTTAATATTTCTTATTCATAATTATCAGCATACATAGCAATTATACATTCTTAGCGAACGAGAATGAAATTAATGTCAATTAATGATTTTTTTTTATTTAATACAAAATATTATAATTGTTAATTACGAGATATGTTAAGTTTTGTAAATTAAACGAACAAATAAGTTTATGTTTTGTAAACAAAATCAAATAATTATTCATGTAAGGAATGCTAGTAGTTTAATGATCTTAAAAGTTTTGAAACTAAAATAATGCAATGAACTTTAAGCCCTCAAATGTATGACAATGACATCTTGTACAAACTTTGCTCGTAATTATATTTTGTAAAAACTAATTATTATGATAATTTTATTTATTTATTATTATTTCATGCAATAATTTCATGTTGATAGCATTTGCTAGTGTTGGAATCTAATTCATCACAGTAAATGGACCGTGAATAATTTTATATATGTAGTAGAAAGCTTCATTGACATATGAGTTCAGTCGATACATTAACTTTTTTTTAAGAAATTGTATTTAAACTTTAATAACCAACTATTAAAATAAACAGTCATTTAAAAAAAAAGACATATCATTTTTAGCGTAACCGTTTTCCGCCAAAATCGACTTTTCCGTTTACCGCCAGTACAATAATTTATATTTTCTTTATTTGTTACCATTAATTTCAATTTCTATATTTTGGTATACCATAATTGAAAGATTTAAATTATTATATATATTATTTACGTATAGTTTATCCCAGATAATATGTTCACAATCATGTGTTTTTTTCCATTAATAGAAAATAAAGAAAAGATTACGTTTGAAATTCATGCGACAACTGGAAATAAAGATAAAGCGTTTCTGGTTTGATCGTTTATACTTGTATAGATTTTGCCTTACTTATTACATTTTAGTTTGTGTTAAAGTTCGTGAAAAAAAGAGTGCGCTCCACACATTGGTAAATATAATTGAGAGTAATCGTGGTAAAAAGCAGTTGATTTTAGATAATTTTAAATTTTGAATTTGTTCCTGTAATAAAAGACTTATTCATTGACGATGTACAATTAATGACTGTACAGCAAAATTTTATACAGATGAAAATCATATAGTTATTAACAATACAAATACGCCACATCGCAACCATGGTGAATATTCCAGTCAAGCATTGAAAAAGCAGGTGCTCAATATAGCATGTATAAGAAAAGCTATTGTAAATGTAAGTACCAGACCAAAAAAAAAAAAATTATTTTAACTGAAATTGGAAAAAATAGTAATTCATCAGATATAACCATTAACGACATAAATAGAATCCGAATAAATATTTATAAAAATCGATGCAAAATTATGCCTCAAAATTCTACTAATATAGCTGATGCTCAGCTATATACTCAATTTAATCAATCTAATCAAATCTATATAACATATATAACTATATAGCATACTCAATTCGATTGACGTGAAAACCAAACAAATTGAAAATTTTTTATTGGTAAATGATGAAAAGAAAAATATAATAATATTTTCAAGTGAAACAAATCATAGATTTGTATCAAAGTGTAATAATATTTATATGGACGGAAATTTCGATTATAGTACTCGATTTTTTTTTTTAAATTTTTTTCGATTCATGAATATTTAAATGGTTACTATGATTCATTAGTTTTTTGCTTATTACCAAATAAATGTAAACAAACATATAAAATGTATACTTATGTTTTTCGTGCAATAAGCAATAAGTGCAAGGACTTGGGGTTAAATTTTTCTTCCACCAACATAACTGTGGACTTTGAAAAGGCTATAATTAGTACAGTTTCTGAAATGTGGACGCAAACCAATATTTAAGAATACCGATTTCACTTAATCCAATCTGGTACTATATAATACAAGAAATTGGCTTATCAAGTGTGTATAAAGACGAGTCATCTGAAATTGATAAATGGTTACATAATATATTTGGCTTATTATTTCTAAATCAGGAAGTGATTGTTTCATCGATGACTTTATGAGCAACAATCCGATTGATGAAAGGCTACAAAAGTTTGTTTACAATTTTGTAGAAACATATATTTCTAAAGATTGTATTTATTAATATTGTATTCATCCTTCAAAATATGGGCACTTGCATCTTCAGAACTTACACGCACAACAAACGCCTGCAAGTCATTTCATACACATCTTAAAAATAGTTTTTATCGACATTTGCCTTCTATTTTATAATGGTTAAATATTTTAATCGAAGAAGTCCAAACTGACGTTTATTGCAAATTAAGAAGCTTCAGTAAACAAAAAACACCACGAAACCAAATCTTAAAACGACAAAAAAAAAAAAACCAGTATTTAATTGATCAGTATACTCATAAAATAGAAAACATATACCGATATATATTTGTAAAATCAATAGCGTATAACATAAGAAATGTAATAACATTAAACAATATACTATATAATTTTAATTTATAATAATTTTAATATTAAATATTACTTGAATGTGTTTTTGTAAGATTATATATTTAATTAAAAATTTAATACCTAATTATTTTTGTTATTTTAAAAATCATTACCAATTATTAATAACTATAATTGTTTACATAATAAAGGATTACCAAAATATAGAAACTGAAATTTGTGGTGGCAGGAAAAGGAAATTTATATTATTGTACTGGCGGTAAACGGACAGGTTGATTTTGGCGGAAAAGTAGATCATCCATAATTTTAATCTTTAATACTTTTATCCGTATATTCTTTTATAATTTTTATTAATCATAAGTGATTATGCGTGCACAGATTACATATTTAATAATAATTTACACATTATAGAATTCATATTTTATTAATAACTTATATTAAATAAATATAATGTAATAATTTAAGTTTAATGTAGATTATATTACGAATAAAGTAAAAAACAAAACTATTAGCTTCTCGGCATTATTAAATATACACATATAACATATACTTATTTTATGCCATAACTGGGCATGATGCTTTCGTGTGTTCTATTATATACTTATCATTATTTAAATATTTTAATAAAGGTTATGTGCGGAATTAATTTGAATATTCATATATACAAAAGTGTTTAAAATTGTTAGTATTTAAACTTATACGAACAAAATAAAGCGCAAATTTTGTTTGCTGTAATGTGCGAACAAAGGCAAATTTAAAAAAAAAAAGCGCAAATTAAAAAAAGGAGAAAAGTAAATTCATAGAAGCTTTTTGATAAACTGAAAATCCCATAAAAATTTGTTATTGAAAAAAATAATAAACTAATAAAAATGGTAGTGGCTGTTTTAGTAGAATTTTGATATAGATTCTTTTCAATCGATTGTATATTAAAAATGGAGAACTATCAATGTACTAAATTATGTCTAGCTTAATTTTGCAATTATTATTATTTGCACAATTAATTTAGAAATTATTAGTAAACATAATTAGGCTATCGAATAAAGCTTGTGTAAAATTATGTGTTTTGTATATGTATAAAATATATATTGAATTTATGATGGTGCAACATTTTACAAGAATGTAGGTATTATAAATCATCTTAATTTACATTATAATAATAATATGGTTATTATAGTTCCTGAACATGGCCAGTGTGTTTATGAGGATATTCAATTTGATATGCATGATGTTACTCATAGGACATTGGTCTGGATGTCTTCAATTCCTTGTACCTAGCCTACAAGGATTTCCAGTAAATTCATGGGTTTCTATTAATGAATTACAGGTAAATATAATTTACACATATACATTTTTTTTTAAAGTCTTAAAATTATTTATATACTTATGAGTTTTAAGTTATTTTTTTAAGAGTGCCAACCAAAAAATAATTTTATCTTTTATTTTTTATTCTAATATTTATTGTAGAAAATATATTTAAATTATTATTATATATTATATAATATTATTATGAATAAATATCACATATTGATTTTACTTAAGCATAATTTAATAAATTAAAGACAATATTTTTAAACACATTTAAGCAAATTTATTTAGATTGTTTAAAATTACTATTTTTCTAAAATTAAATAATTTTAATTGATTATATAAATAGTACATATTTTATTACCAATAATATATCGAAAATTTGAAGGTTTGTTTGATATACTTATATAAGTACTCGATAAATATTTCAAGTAGGTATTTTATTTACAGTTATATTAACATTTGAAAATTTCAAGTTATAAGGATAGTTTTTTTTTTTAGCTATGACGAAAACTAAATTAGAATTTTTTGAAAAACGGTTTATTATACACATGCAGTTTTTTTGTTTTTGGTATTTTTCGTCAGTTTTTCGTAGTTATTAAGAAAACTGACTGAATTGACTCCCTTAATGAACCAACAGACATTATCTACATTATAAATTTTAAATACTTACCATGGAATGTTTTCAATTAATTTTTAATGTATTTATGAATTATTAGGAATTAAGGAATTACTCTTTAAATCATGGTTACATAACCTAACTATCTCAGAATCTAATCTTTCATCAAACCTAATAGGAAGTTAAAATATGTTAGAACATGTTTGTTGATGATTTTTTTTTTTTTTGATTCAAAATTTTATTTATTTATTTATTTTTATACTTAGCATGTCGTCTTTATAAATTAATACTGCAAAGTCATTATACACCTAACTACTTCAATATGAAGCGTATCATTTAAGCAACGTCATTTTTTTTCTAATTATATTATTATATTTCCTGATTAAAACTGATTTTAATGGACATAGGACCCACTGTGAATTTATGAATCGTTGAAAATTAATAAAATTATTTTTTTTTAGCTGCAAATATTATTTAACACAGCTTTGTGTTACATAAATATGTCAAGGATATAAAATTAGCATTTATAGTACCATATGATATACGATTTAAGTAAACAATACATTATTTATATTTATTCTAATTTTTTTTTATCAATTAATTTAAATAATTATTGTTATAATTTTTAAAATAATTTTTGGAAATTACTATTAATAATATTAGTTAATTAGTTCTTGCAATTTTATTGCATTTGTATAAATATATTTAAGTAGATAGGCAGTGGCTTTTTAAATGGAAACCTTCCGTAAAATCAATCCAACTGATAAACTATATTTGATCTTTATTTTGTTATACATTTCTTTAAATTTTTTTAAAATAACTAAGAATATCAGAATATTAAATATCTATTTTTTTTGTGTAAAATGTTCATTTAATTTCAAATCTATAGATGTATTTACATTTAACATATAGAAAGTTTATCTTACTAAAATTGATCTTCTCTTTTGAGAATAATTATAAAACTTTAGGTTATTTTTGAATCTTCTTTATTTCCCAAGAAATAAAAATTTGTAAACACATTTTTGAAGTATTTTAAAAATGCTTTTTCTGTTAAATTAAAATATATTAAATAAATATATAGTTGAATTAACATGTACTCGTATGCATGAGTATTGACATTTTACTTTTAAATACCTAATTATTTTTAAATAAATGTAGCCACTTGTGTAATATAGTCGAGTTTTATCCCATCATTAATTCAAATTTGTTTACTAATACTGTGTTCCTATATAATATATGAAATACATAGTAAAGTTGAAATATCAGTGATTATCTGTAGCATATGTACTCGTGAATGATACAGATGAATAATAAACCAGTTTGATAGACGATAATTCTTTAATCGTAAGGTATATTTTCAAATTTTTTCATCAACTTTGAGTTAAAAAACAAATATAATTCAAACACATTATTCCACTAAAACTAAGTAGATCTATACAACATTTTTTTATTTTATTTTTTCCGTAAAGCAATTTTAATAAGAATTTTTTTTAAGATTTAAGTAGATTACCGTAATGTGAATTAAATCAGTCAAATAGTATTATTTATTAAAATATAACAAATATTATAGTGGCTTGGATATTAACAAAGTAAAATTGTAATATGTAATTACGTTAATATAAATCAACTGCACAGATTCTTTAAGCTACAAATTGAAAAAACGAGTTTGCAAAGCACATGGCAATACAGATACATACAATTAAGTTTAATGGTGCATTTTATTGATGTTTTAGGATGCTAACTGGGCAGAACAATATTCGTGGTCACTATTTAAAGCCATGTCACATATGCTGTGTATTGGTTATGGCCGGTTCCCACCACAATCGCTAACTGACATGTGGTTGACCATGTTGTCAATGATTAGTGGTGCAACGTGTTATGCTCTATTTTTGGGACATGCTACAAATTTGATTCAGAGCTTGGATTCATCACGTCGGCAATACCGTGAAAAGGTCTGAAAAAATTAATTTGCGAATCACACGATCATTTTAAATATGAGATTTTATAACTTTTAGGTTAAACAAGTGGAAGAATACATGTCGTATAGACGGCTACCATTAGATATGCGAAAGAGAATAACCGAGTACTTTGAACACAGATATCAGGGAAAATTCTTTGATGAAAAGTGGATATTGGATGAAATGTCCGACAAACTGCGCGAAGTAAGTACTTAAACTGCGGTGCAATGTGTTAGCTAAATGTAAACCATGCATTTTGAATTTGTAGGAAGTTCGAAACTACACTTGCCGGAGATTAGTGACAAATTTGCCACTTTTACAGAACGCTGACACCAACTTACTTACTGAGTTGACTGATTGTTTAGAGTTTGAAATGTTCCAGCCTGGTAATTTTTTACGCTTTTTTTTTTGTTGCTCTTGTAATTTTTTTTATGTTTTGTTTTGAATACACTATGTGTTTTAATGAGAAACGCAGCAATAGGTTGGTAGATTAGGGTGGGAGTAGAGTAAACAACATCGCGTATATTGCAATGGTATGCAAGATTTAACGATTTTTAAATAAGAAATTCTGCTCGGGGCTGGGTGATAGATAGCCTTTCCATTGGTATGGATGGTAAGGAGTGGGTTGAACAAGAAAAAAGCCTCGGATGAAAGTAAATACACGAGGAAAAAATAAGTAGCTATATGTGTGAAGGGAATGCAAAATAATTCGGTTTTGAAACAGTACGCGTGTCACGAGAGTTGAGCTTTAAACACACTTAGCAGTTTTGTGAATGCGGGTTGCTAGATACAGCTGTATAGGGTAGTCTGCTTGCGGTTGACTGATCGTCTAATATAAGGATCTATGTTGGTAACTGGGTGTAATATTCTTCATTGTGTTCGAAAATGAATGAATGCGGTATACGTTTTTGAAAACATCAATTATGTCAATAAAAGCATCCATAGTTCATAGATGATATAAAAACATGGTATATAAAAATATGCAATATTATCATTGATCAGTTACAAAACCAACTATCGACGGAGATGTTTAAAATTGAACACTTTTTTTTATCGTTATAAATAATACATACAGTAAAACCTAGTTAAGACGCTTTTGAAGAGGAAAATAACAAGAGCACGTATTAAACGGGATAGTATAATAAGAAGTAATTTGTTTAATACTTCCCGGAAACTTTTTTGTGCGGGATTCCATTTAATTATGTTTTAATAGGATACAAAACAGAAAAAATGATAATCGCGTTTTTTTTGTATTAATTATATAATACCACATAATTGGTAAATATACTCGATAAATTTTCTCGCAACTAATATAAATAGCCTTTAAATAGATTTGATAGAACGATATCTTCTTGTTGGTTTTAATTTATTTAAAAAGTTCTATAAATACTAGAGATCTGAAAAAATTCGTGTATTAAACGACAGCGTTTTAACCAGATTTGACTGTAAATGTTTTAAAAACGTTTACTAAATGTTTGTTTTTACAAAGTAGAATATCATTTTAACTGTTTAAAATCTTGAGAAATAAATACGGTATCAAAATTAAATCCATAAATTAAAGTGATTTTTAGTAAAATTAACAGATGCAACCGGTTTTTTAAATAAAATTGAATTTTAATTGTTTAATATACTTGAAATTAATTAACTAATTGATTAATTTATAATTATAATTAATGAATAATTAAATAAAATAATTTCATTTAGTATATTTTTTTTTTTTTTTTGGGTATTTAATTTTATACCATACTAATTCGAAATTATCATAACAGAAAATATACATTGTTTAAATATTATCTACTTTTGATAAACTTGGTATTCTTGTCTAATGATTACGAGTTATAAATAATTGCTTTAATGTATTTAATATTGTTATAAATTATTGAATAGAAGAAGTGTGATGAACAATGTCATAAATAGGTAAGCAAAATATATTTTGTGATTGTATAATGATTGACTATAGAGGAACAATTTATCGATAATTATATGCTATTCAATACTTGATTTCTGTAAACAATTATGATAATTTATATTTATAAGTATTCTGTACACCTATCTTACAGAATAAATAATGCGCATAAAAAATTGCGGAGACTATTGTTACAGTAGCCTATATTGTGAACAATGTAAACTCATTTAGTCTACAGATTATATTAGATTTAAAATTCGTCCATCAAATAATATGTGTTTTACATAGCAAATGAAAGTGCTATATTATAATACATTGTTCATTGTTTACTAAACGTTAAATTAAATGGAATATTATATTACATAGCATAGTTTTACTTGATATTAATTTTTCATAATACATCTATACTATGGAAAATTCATAAAATCACTGAAGAACTATCAAATATCTTTTTATCTCAGGATTTTAAATGACTCAATAATTACAATAAATATATCATGATTATATATATTCGTTGATTTTGATCCGACGTAAAGTTAATGTTCTTAAATCAATATGTGTTGGAAATAGATGGATAGATTTTTGAAGATATTATTTTAGTAAATAAGAAGTGGAGTTTTTTTTTTTTGCTTTAAAAATAGCAGTACGATATATCACGAGGACAGGCCTAAAATAAAGCTACCTTGGGATTCGATTTCTTTTCTTCTTTAAACGATAATGTTTATCGGTCACGCTATCAATATTCTTCTTTGACAAGTAAAAACAGCTAAAATTTTCGAAAAAAAAAAAAATCCATTTCAGATTTTGAATTTAATAGTCTTTGATT